GCCGTAGGAAATTTCATTATATCTGGCACAGACATCCGCTTTGACTGATTGATTTGTTGTTCAAAACATTCCGTTCTGTCCCTTCCTTAAGAGGGCTTCAGTGTTGTGAGTCCAGTCCAGTATTTTATACTATAGGGGTCCACACACTTCACTTCTCCCTGGATTACATCAAGAACAGGGGGTCTTCTGTTCCGCTGGTAGTCCACCACCACAAGCTTATTGCTTTTACTAATATTGAGCACCAGGTGATTGTTGTTGCACCATGTGACAAAGCTCTCTATCAGTCCTCTGTACTTGTTATTAAAATGAGTTTCTAAGTGAAAGCTGTGTGTTTCTAACAGGAAATTATTCACTGGAATGGTATGCCAGCATACAGTGAGCTTATACATAGAGAGAGAGGGGACCTGAGAAAGTAAGGACACCAAGGAGAATGGCAGAGTAGCACATTTATACAGTGGAGCAAAGGGTCATGGTGAGACAGTTTGCAGATACAGTTGTAATAACTGGGTGCACTTTGCATCTCGATGATAGGTTCTAGCAAACCGTTTATAATTTTAAAGGGGTGACAAGGTCAAAGGGTAAGTACAAGAAAGGACATAGTTCCCAGACTATTCTTGTATATCTAAGGTGCATGTGGTTTTAAAACTAGATCAATAGCAACAGAATATTACAAGGTACATCTGCCTTGACTATGATATGTATTCTTCCTCAAAGCATAAAATTCCCGACAATGTTGTTCTTTACATCTATGCATACACACAATCAAAATCCTTTCAAATCTAATGGTGTGTGTATTTTTAATGCCTTAATGTGCGATTTATTGTTACACAGGCTACCAGAAACAGCTGATCTACAAACATGGTGACGGTGCTTACAGCACATTTGGATCAGGAGCAGGGAACACTTGGTGAGAATATTACTGATTAATCAATCAATCATCAAAATCATTATGTGTACAGGTCACCATGTTGTACCATGTTACATAGTGTATCTCAAGCAAAAGAAACACTGGATGTTTATGGTAGACAGTGATTGCACTGTAAAGGAAATATTTGCATGTTTTGGAAAATGTCATTTAATTTCATTTTATTTCCCATTATAAAACATTCTCTACATGCTAAAAATGTTATATTTAAGATATCACCATGTCTTAGTCAGTTGATGCCTAAGCTTGTTTTGCGTTTCCTCAGGCTGACTGCTTTTGTGCTGAGGTCCTATGTCAAAGCACAGTCTTTTGTCTACATTGACCCAGAAACAATTGAACAGTCTAAGACTTGGCTGGCGGACCAACAACAAGAAACTGGCTGCTTTCTACAGTCAGGAAAACTCTTTAATAACAGAATGAAGGTAAGCTTGAAAGGAGCTATAACAGTTTGTATGATAATTCAAACTGAAGATGTTCATTTTCATCTTGATGACAATGTTTGAATGATACTTCCTCTCCGCAGGGTGGTGTGTCTGATGAAGTGACACTCAGTGCTTACATCACTGCTGCCTTCTTGGAGATGAATATGTCTGTGAATGTGAGTAGACGTTCTGCAGTATCACTAATCTCAGGCTCTCTGTGACTGTGAACTGAAAAATGGAAAAAATCCTTTATAATATCTACTCTGTATACATACCAGTAACTTTTACAATATACAGATAATACATTAAAATAAAAGTTGCGCACAGTTTGATACCTCTTTTGTAAATAAGTGTGATTATTTTCTGTCCATTTTCCTCACATCTTTTCAGTGTGTATAGGTTCTTAATAGCATTAGACACTTACTGGCCACTTTATTAGGTACACCTGTATATTTGTTTGCAATACTTCTGCTTTAACATCTGTGTTTATGAAGCTCAGAATGATTCAGTTTTTGGTGAAATTGTCATAAATGTTTAAATTCAATTATATGTTTATTATTGAGGCCATAGTTAAATGTGGTGTTGTACTGGACCGCATTATATTCATAGGTGTCCCTAATATTCTGACCTTCTCATGTAGCTGGGGATGAAAAAAATATAGAGACAACACTTTACTCAACCCTTTTATAGAAAAAAAGACTTGAGTAGATGGGAACATATTGTTTGAATGTAACTCACATTGTTACATCCTGAAGAACTGATGTTCTGTCTATTTGCAGTGCCTCACCAGAGTAACACATGAAGAGATTTCAGATTTCAAATGTCATGGTAATTTTGGACTCAAAGCATAAAAACAGTTATCATGACTTGAACCACATAAATGGCAATGTGTTTGACTTCCCTTAGCAAAAATACGAGCTCATGGGTTCCATGTCACTACAGCATTACGTTTTGTGATTGGTTCTCAATGTAAAGCGTTTTGTGGATTCTGGCTTTTCTTTTTTAAATTCAAAATAAAAGTCCTGAGATGCTGCATTATGGTGTTCTTTTAATCTGTTAAAGGCTTCTGTTATACACAAGAGCCTGTCCTGCCTCAAGATGTCCATTGATGATCTCAGCAACACCTACACTACAGCTCTGCTGGCGTATGTCTTCACCCTGGCAGGAGACATTGAGACCCGTGCTCACCTTCTTCAGCGCCTTGACACAGTTGCATTAAAACAAGGTAAGTCATATTTCTAAAAGAAATCATTCTCATTTTATTACTGGGAATGTAGGTTACATTGTCCCTGTCTGTGGATGTCTGTTTTTAGGAAGGTTCCTCCACTGGTCTCAGACCTCAGAAGATGCATCAGTCTCTCTGTCTGTGGAGATCAGCTCCTATGTGCTGCTGGCCAAACTCAGTTCCTCCCCTACAGCTGAAGACCTGGGCTACGCCTCTCACATTGTCAGGTGGCTGACAAGCCAGCAGAACTATTATGGAGGCTTCTCCTCCACACAGGTACAGCCAAACAGCATCAGAATGGGCTTTTAGTTGAACATATAGTCAAACATCTATGGGACAAATACGATAAAACCAGTAGTGATGTCATACCGCTCATTCCTTTCTGATACCAAGTAAAATCCAGGTTGGTATCACCAGTACTGATGCCAATACTTTGTGCAAAAAATGAGGAAAAAGAGATGGGTCCAGACAACAGAGAATGAATAAGAATTGGAGATAAAAGGTAAATCTATAACGGCTTGCACTTTTATTATTACAGATGGTGCCTTCCTTCTCACATACTATTATGGAACATTTCTGCCGCCCGGACTACCTCCATACTTTATACATACAAGAACCCTTTATATGCCACCCTGGTTGTTGTTTACATCCCTCCAGCCAGCAAACACCACATGACATCCACTCTGTTATTGAAAGACTCCAGACAGTTTTTCTTATTCTCATAGTGACTCACACATTTACAGAGCCACAGTTTACATATGACTATGATAGGTGGAAGGAGAAGTAGCTCCTATCAACCGGGTATTGTTGATGTTAAAATATACATTTACCCCAAATTAGCCTACTGGTTTTAGATATTGTTCTTTTAAAGTAGGAATAGAACAGGAAACTTGGGATCAGAAGTATCAACATTTCAGGGATGATCCACACATTACTAGAAAACATCATTTGAAATGGTTTGTTTATATTGGAAATGGTATGTATCTCCAAAATGCCATCTTATCATGCAGTTGGAAAAACAGTCCTAATTTCATCTGTGTTGAAGTGCCAATATCAGCTAATTGAACTGGCTTCTAAAGGTTTTATCATATATGTTAAGGTTAGGAAAGGTCTCCACAAGGAATGAAAAGTGTGTGTGTGTGTGTGTGTGTGTGTGTGTGTGTGTGTGTGTTTTGCAGGACACAGTGGCAGCTCTTCAGGCTCTGGCTCTCTATGCCGCTCTGGTGTTCAGTCCAACGGGTTCGAGCACAGTGACGGTCCAGTCTCCCAGTGGCCAGCTGACATTTGATGTGAACCAGAAAAACAAACTGCTCTACCAGGAGAAGATGCTGCATGATGTGGCAGGAAAGTACAGTCTGGAGGTGAAGGGTACTGCATGTGCTTCAGTGCAGGTCAGTCAACACTGGAGCACTTCCCGTTTCTCTCTAATAGCAAACGCCACTGTAAACAGTAATAATGTAACAGTTACCTCTTAGTCTCTTTAGTATACATTGTTTAATCTGAAGTTCTTAACAGTATAGCTGCTACTAATGATTTCTGCCCATTATGTTTTATTCCATTTGGTACATGTTTTGTGTTTTTTACTGCAGTGTGTTTTTATCTGTATTCTACTGTGGAGCACTTTGTTACTTAGGCTTAGAAAGGTTTCTGTATAAATAAATGTTTGCTTGCTTGCTTCACATAGCAGACACATAGAATGACTGGAGACACTATTCATCTACCAACTTGAAGTTGAGCTTGAGTGTTTATTTTTAGAAAATGTAAAAAGTGTTTTGACAAAGAATCTGAATTTGAGGTCCAGTTACTGAATTACTTTGGAGGTTCTGAACACAACTCACTGTCTTCATCAGCACACGAAGTTAGTGAAGAGCCATACTATCTACCATAAAAAAAAATATTTATTTTATTTTACCAGGAAGTCCCGTTAAGATCAAGATCTTTTTCAAGGGAGACTTGGCCAAGATGGTAGCCACATATCATACACCTTGGAGGATCCTGAGAGGTTACACCCTGTGGAAATACCTCTGTCATCCAGTCAGCACCTAATAGTTCTGTCCAAGGGTTAAATTACAAATATATTAATAAAGGCAGTGGATGCAAAAGTAACACATTTAACATGAGAGCGAAACAGGCATTTAACCAGGCTTCCTTATAATCTGGATTTACTAGATAAATGCAGTCAACCTAAAGCTAGTTTATGAAAATGGACCCCCTTGAAAAACAATATGGTACTTCTCAAAGAATGCATAATAAATCTGAACAATGTTGTGCAACATTCATAACATTGTTGTTGACCTTTATGACCTTAAATGTTCCTTGTGTGCCTGTTTCCCAGGTCTCGCTTCACTACAACATCCCAACTCCTACTGTAGCCTCCACTCTCAGTGTGGAGGTCAAACCAGAGGCCAACTGCACCAGCAAATCTCACAGACCCAAACTCACTCTGAATCTTAACTCCCTGTAAGTAATCAACAAGCAGATTCAGGTGCCAGCACTGATTTTAAAAGCATACTGTAATTCTGGATGGGCATTCCTCTGCATCTTCCACTGTGTATATTAAATGACTGTTGGTGGATGAAAATGTTTCTGCACATGCCACAGCCCTAGATTAAAAAGCGTTTATGCCTATAATTATCAGAACTATGACGAACAATGTGAACTCTCCCTGAGTTCTGCTGACCTGATTAGGTCCTATACATCCATTTTTATTTGCTCATAATTTTATATTGACTTATACAATTGTGTGTTATGTAAATAATGTGCCTTTTAAGATGAGAGCTGCCGGAAAAAATTTCGTTGTGCTATGCATAATGACAATAAAGATTCTTGACTTCAGTAATGTCACATTTCATCATTCCAGATATAGTGGAAATGAGAACACTACAAACATGGTGATCCTGGATATCAAAATGCTCTCTGGGTTTGTTCCAGACCCACAGTCTTTGAAGAAGGTGAGTTAACACAACGACTTTGACCTTATTAGAAATGTGTTTTTGATGATATGATGATGGTGATAGTAACTCTGCTGAGTATCATCTCCTCACAGCTTGAACATGCCCTGCTGGTGGATCGTGTTGAACAAGAGGAAGATCATGTTTTGGTGTATATTGAAGGGGTCAGAGGAATTTACAGCAGAAAACAATGGAAACTAGATGATGCTGTCTGTATTTGCTACTGATCATGTCTGTTTTTACCAACAGTTAACTAAAGACATACCAGTCAATCACCAGATAGAGCTCGTACAGGAGCTCCCGGTACAGAATCTGAAGCCGGCTGTGGTCGAGATCTATGACTACTACCAGCCAAGTAAAAGAAATACTCAGACCTCTCACACAGAGACTGCCAAATCCTATAATTCAACTGTTTTATCTGTAATGTACACTGGATAGAAGAGAGCAGATAAATTAACATTAAAATAAAAATTACAGTATTTTGGACAAATTCCCAAGACAAATTTAAATCAAGGTTTGTCCCTTAGAAACAGTAGACATACTGCAGTCACACACAAAGAATATGCCACTTTTTTGTTTGCTCAATTTCTCAATTTCTAATTCTCTTTCTCTCTCAGGTGACCAGGTTGAGACAGAATACATCTACTCTTGTGCTGCAGGTAACGGTCTGTATTGGCTCACTGTCCCTGTTATTACAGGAAAATGATTTTACAAAGTAAATTTAATAAGTTTTAAAAATTTTCCTCTAACCTATTAAAATGATGCCATCTAAGACCCTTATTGTAATGTGGAATTATTAAATGTTCATTGTTATGCTGAAGAGTATGTTTAACATGCTAGTGTGATGAGTCTTGCTTATATTTTTCCTTTAATTTGCAGCTTGAAGACTGTTCTTTGAGATTCATGGACAATTTTCAATAAATCCTTCCTATTTGAAGATGTATATCTTGTGTATGTGTCGTTCCATGTCTGTGCTTTTGTTCAGCTTAATCTATATTAATTTGTTTTTAAGGCCATTTAGGAGAAGTGAAATAGGATTTAAATTCAAGATTAATTCAGAATTAGCTTTATTAGTCAGGTGTGTTGAACACACAAGGGATATGACTCCGGTGCAGAAATCTTCTCTGCCCTCCTTTTGATCTGTGAGGTGTTGATACAAAATGCATAGACCAGTTTTTCAGCATCACTTTGAGACATGATGTTCCTGATTTTGATGATATTGCAAAGATGAAAGAAGGCAAGTGAATCTAGTAAATCTACATGACTGAAATAAATTTTAAGACTTCACATTGATTTATGTGTTGCTAAGTGAAATGTCTGTAAATTATACAAATAACCACTAGAGGGTTCCAGTGCAGTGATGGGAAGCTGGTGAGAGGAGCACAAAGGCTCTGCATACAAGAGAAAGTAACTTGTTATTTTAGAATTGCTCACACTGTCTCATAGTTTGATAGATTAATCAATTAGACACACTCAACTATGTCTCTAATTGCCTTATGTATCAATGATTGTCACTGCGCTGTGGTTTCATTTCATTTGATACTGTATACACTCTGTTGCCTGTTTTTTTGTGTTTTGCTTTAGGCGTGAGTGTCCTGTCTGCAGTATATTTTAGTACCACTTCCAGTAATACATTAACCCACCTATAATCACCATTTAATTAACACTGCAGCATTACTAAGAGACACAAATATAAGTTCAAGGCGTAAGGGGTCTGTTGGGGTAAGTTCGGACAAGGGGATATTTTGTCCCTATCAGTGCTGAGACCAAACCTACGCCCTGGGTAATAAGGAGAGCGAAGACATTTGCACAGTGTCTGGAAAGCTAGACAAGACAAAGGTGATCTTTATCAGCAGTAAGAACACGGTATCATGGGCATGCCTCTCACGTAGTTTAATTGTTTATGGTACAGTAGCACTCCATAAAATAAGCTCTGAAGAAAAGCCGCATACGGTGTAACCTAAAAGAACTGCAACTTAAATGGAAGTTGTTCAATTTAAGGAATTTCTTTTCGTTTGAGCTATCAAGTACGTCACTTCCGGGATGTCGGGGTGAGCAAAATGACAGCTGGTTTGTTTTCATCAACAAGGGAAATTTAAAGTAGGCATTAAAGGTATGTAGATAGACGACCTTATGTTTTGTCGGGTTTTCACATGTTCTGTTAACGTACTCTCATTAGCTGGTGATTAATAAAGGTAATTTTATATCGCTGCCATCTGTAATCCTTGTCAGGCTGCATCGAGCTGCTGCTGGGGGTCAGACTCAGTGATACCGAGTCTGGACTGGACGCTGCTACATGGCTGTTAACAGGCAGTTTGCACCTTTAATATCCCAGTTTAAAGCTGAGCCTTTTATTTGGGGCTGCAATTGAAAAGGCGGCTGTAGCTGATTAACTATGTAAGTTCTAGTTTAAAAAAGCCAAACTCCATTGAAAAATCTGACAATTATGTCGTTTCCGTGCCGTATCGGCCTGTGTATACTGCAACAATAGCACCATAATTCTTTTTATTGATCGGCAGGAATTATGCGTCAGTTCGGCAGAAATCGCATAGATGACGCAGCACCTATAAGATTAAAACATCAGTTTTTATAACGGATCTTGGTGTTGTTGCGGCACATTTTTTAACCAAGTTAATGGTACCTGGTGAGGGGCTGTAGCTGGAATGGCAACTATAAACGTTGATATTTTGTTTAAATAACTATTGCGTTGTCAAAAGGATATATACCGAATTAATAAGACCTTCATGCTGAATCGCAGGTTATTATGATTTACGAATTAATAGATGTGTTAGTTTCTTGGGAATTTAAGAAGTATAGAATTATAAGACTTTTGAAGGGCGTTTGGAACAGCGGGCTCCTCATTAAACAAGATTAATTTCATTCCAAAATATTTTATAAGTGCCTGTACTATGTGTGTGTGTGTGTGTGTGTGTGTGTGTGTGTGTGTGCGTGCATGCATCACAGTACGATCAGTGTCATTCCAGTGTCTGACATGATAGGTCTGCTGCTGGTAACACATGCAGGCAGGCACAGACACAGAGCATGGGACACATTCAGGCAGAAAGGTGATTGACAAGTCTTATTGTATATACACACACACATATGAAATATGTATCTAGGAAATATACTTTGTGATTATAATGATATTGGCCAAAAGCTAACTAGGCAGAAACTGATCTTTGACCTTGTTTACTCTCCAGTGTCATGTGGTTAACACCCTGCAAATCCTCCTCTTTCTGGCCTGTACAGTCACAATCCTGAAAGTTGGTCAAAGAGGGACCAGCATTTGTTCTGGGGAGGTCATCAGCCCTACCAGCCACTCAGGAGTAAAGCAGTAGTGACACTGCCATAAGACCTGTTTTCAGCCTCCAAATAGAGAGCTTTGTCTTGTGTATAAGTTATGACAGTTTCAATTGCACTTTATGAATGGATGAACAAATGCCAGTGCCAGTGGACTGAAAATGAATCTGGCTTCTTTTGATTTCTTTGACAGACTGTCAATACAGAAACAAAAGGGGACAGTGAGCAGTGATAGTGGTCAAATTAAGGGAAACATCACTTCAGGTAAGATGTGTATTGTATAGTGAAAAATATATACAGTCAGAGATAATAAAAAAAAAAAAAGGTGTAACTTGTCTCAAACAGAGCACTAGGCCAAGCACCTAACATGCATATTTTATATTTGTTGTATCTGAATTTTATTTATCTTGTCTGTAAAAAAAAAAAAACACTATGGCATCATAGCAAGTAATTTATGTGCTGAAGAGTAACAAATTGCTTTCATACATTGCAGCAATATACTGCAGCCCATTTCTGTCAAATAAGATACTGTAACAAGATCCTTTTATTTTTTTATTTCAGCAAAACCACTACATAATTTATGCTTCCTTGCAGCAGACTCCGCAACAAGGCTCTATTCACCAAGCGTTTTAGGACTCGCACAGATACTTGTCATTTTAATTATAGAAGCTTAAGTGATAAGTGAGGTCAAAGGGGCCTTTTCACATTTTTAATACGTTTTAAGCATAAAGATAAGCTTTATTGTTTCTGCCCTTTGGACGAATTCAGGAATATTTAAATGGGACAGTGTGTCTGTGGTGCGCTGATAAAGAGCTGAGGACGCTTTCTTGTCCCCCCCCCCACACCTCCCTGCTTACATTATCATTAAACAGCTCTCTTACAAAGGAATGCAGACATTTGTCAGACTGGGCAGCTCAGTGTCTTCAGGGTCTCTCTAATGTAGATGTAAAACTTTTTTTTATACTTGGTACGTACTGTGCTGTATGTTACTGAGTGAATAAGCTGATTTTTACATGATAGAAGTGGGAAAATGGATATTTCTTCATGAAATACAGTCTTAAGCTTAATGCTTTATTAATGGATATGTGGTGGAATGAAGTCCTGCAGTAAAGCTACAAATGACTTACTAAATGAGTGGATTGATCATTGTCATCGTAACAGTTTAGCATTGTACTAGTCCTTACTGTCTGGGATTTTTAGACCCGTCCTCTCTCTGTTGTGTGAACTGCAACATGAGGTCCAGACAAGGCTCCGGGGCACAGTGTGGTCAGGAAATTTCTGGAATATTACGGAATGTTTCCAGGAGCACAGCATGCCAGGAAGGAAAGGGAGCGGGGCAGAAGATGATGTATTACTGCATGGCTAATTTGGCAGAGTTTGACTTTTAAATGTAAATCTCTAGAGACATTTGTGTCTGTCATGGAGTCTTTCCTCCATGTATAGTGCTATCCAATTAACTCATGTGGCAAAAGAAAAAAAATTTAGGACATTATGTTGGATTCTGAGTGATTGTGATGGACATTTTCAATATTTAATGATGTTTTATAGCCCAAATGATTCATCCTTTATTCAAGAATGTAATCTGTAGATTAATTGATCATTTAAAAAAAATGATGCAGTCCTTGTTTGGACTCCTCTCTCCTTTTATATGAGCCATTTTTGCCACCATCGTGATTGCCACACCTATGTAAAAAGTCTGAGTTGATGGTTTACAGTGTTTATGGTAGCAGATTTGTTTGGATGTACCTTTCACTGGTCTTTGTTGTTGCATGGTTATGAGCTGAGAGTTTGTCTCTTCCCCCCACATCGCTGACCAGCTGAAGGGCATGGAGCCACCAGAGGATAAAGATGGCCGTACCTTCGTGGAGGTGATGAGTGAAAAGTACAGCCCAGAGAACTTTCCATACCGCAGAGGACCTGGTATGGGGGTGGTGGTTGTGCCCACCGCAGGTCCTCAGGGTTCCCCTATGAAAGGTGAGCTGGAGAGGTAAAATTACATTTTGTACAGTAGCTGATAACGTCACCTTCACCTTTTATCCCTCATAGAATGGGCCAAGGTTTCTTACATTTATAGGTAGCACAGTTAGGAAACGTGTTTCCCTGTGTTGTACAATGAAATACTTACTTTGTCTAGTGTAAACTTCACTTCGTCAGTGAACTTATAGTTGTACATAAAAAAAACAGTCTTCAAAAATGCTGTATATATGGCTTTTAAATCATGTGTAGTGAGCAAATTCACTGTTTATTGTTAAATTATCATTCATTTCTTTTCCCTCACATCTGTACTACTGTAAACTAAGGGCAATGTTCCAAGCAAACTCTGGTGTGGTGTGCACCCAGAGTAGATTCTGCAGAAAGTACAATGAATTGAGGATTTGGACATCTCTCAGCACTTTTCCTAACACAGCCGTTAAGTCCACAAGTGTGGGTAGGTCTGGACAGTTGGATTGAAGCTGTGTCTCGTGGCTGCAACATACTATGGTCTTTTGTAGTTGAAAATGATATCTATGAATGTAAGACTGCATCCTGTCTTCTCTTACAAGACTTCACAGTAGTAACAGGTGTTGTGGTTAATTCTGGGAACTTGCTGTCATCATATGATAGAGGTGTTTTTGGCTCCTACTTCCTTCTTGTTTGTAGTATTGACACATGATGACTAATTAACATTTGTGAATTTTCTGTTTTAAGAGATCACAGTTTTCTTTGGCTCATTACATTTAATCCTAATGCCATTTTAGCTTTAACCCGCTTTTTCCTGTGTGACCCTTCACATCCACTCCTCTCCCACTTCACCTCCAGATCGTCTGAACCTGCCCAGTATGCTGGTGTTGAATAGCTGTGGGATCAGCAGGGCAGGAGACCAGGCTGAGATCGCTGCTTTTTGTGCCCATGTCATGGAGCTGGACCTGTCCCACAACAAGCTGCAGGACTGGAATGAGGTGCTATTTCTAGGTTTATTAAAGCTAAGCTAGCTAAGTCTGGTGACATTTTGTATTTTACTGATTGTCAACAAATCCCGTGATAAAGATCATAACCAGCAATGAATGATCCTACTTACAAGTATTTGTATAGTACTTCATTGTTGGCCAAAAACCATTAAAAACACAGCTGACTGGGTCACATGTCCCTTCATTACCATGAATGCTCACACTATAGTATTTTTTTGGCTAAATCTGATGTACACCATTCTGCCTCTAGAAATACTTATTAGCACACCAAGTCTTTGGTTTTCTGTTTAAAGGAATGCTTTTTAAAGGTTCTGCATTAAAATTATAGGGGCAAAATGTAAACACACACATTGTCTTGTTTTCAGATCAGTAAAATTGTGGCCAACATCCCAAACCTGGAGTTTCTGAACCTGAGCTCCAACCCCCTGGCAGGAATGATCCTCGAACCACAGTGTGCCGCAGCCTTTTCCCGGGTCCGACGCCTTGTCCTCAACAACACTCAAGTGTCCTGGGACACTGTGCTGGTGCTCACTCGGGAGATACCGGAGTAAGAACGTAGTCATGCTAGATCAGTGCTGCTGAGACTTGAGAATAAACTGGCTTTAATTCCAAGCCAGCACTACAGCATTTCATTGGTTTGCTCACATTGCAGTGACATATAACTGAATTTGGAAGTGGGCCTATAACTATAAGAGATCAGTTTACCCAATTCACAAACAAAAACCCTTTCTCACTTGCTCCAGTAGCCATGTCTCAAGATATGTCACCAGCTCAGTTTAATGGTCTTATACTTGTATCGTACTTTTCTATGTATTGCAGCACACTCAAAAACATATTGGTCTCTTCCAGGATGACGGCGTCCCCATCAACGGGGCATGAGGGGTGACTGAATGGTTTGATGAGTATGAAAATTATGTGAATCATATGGTCTTCATAGTCACCTGATCTCAGCCCAGTTGAACACCTATGAGAGATCCTCAATTGACGTGTTAGACAGTACTTTCCACCACCATCATCAAAACATCAAATGTGGGAACATTTGTTAGAAGAACAGTGTTCATCCCTCCAGAATTGTCCTCAGGCCAAATCAGTCCCTCTACTCTGCTTTCTCCTGTGTTGTCCTGCAGGCTGGAGGAGCTGTTCCTGTGCCTTAATGAGTACAGTAGTGTGAGTGCCTCCAGCGTGGCCTGCCCCACCCTGCGGCTGCTTCACATCACCGACAACAGCCTCCAGGACTGGGCTGAAGTCCGTAAATTTGGGCCCATGTTCCCTAGCCTGGACACTTTGGTCATGGCTAACAACAACTTGGCCTCCATTCAGGACAATAAGGATATTCTGCAACGGCTCTTTCCCAACCTACGCAGCATCAACCTGCACAACTCAGGTCAGAGGATGCAACTGCTTGTTGTGTGTTGGTATTAGACCTGTTTAAATTGGGTATTGTAATGTAATGGTTTAATTCCAACATTAAACACTAAATTGCTTCATTTTTCAAGATACAGGTTTGTTCAGAATGTCAGTGTCTGCACCTGGATGCATCATTTACCGGCTAATAAAATTAGAACAAGCAAACATGTCACTGTATCCAGAAAGCTTTGTGTTATTTATAGAGTGTTACAACAAATTTTTCTCCATATCAGCTTTTATCTCAGGAATCTTTGTTTTTATTTTGGGGAGTGTAAGGTGTGAATCTATTTTTACAGTTCTGCTGCGAGTAGAGGGGACAAAAGCAATATTGTGAGACTTGGAATTCAAAAACACTTCAGTGCAACACTTTTTCATATTGGCTCCTTTAGAAGCTCCTGAAAACTATTATCCTAAGTCATTTTGTCCCAGATTCAGCCTTCAAGATTTGTTTTTCCTCAAATTTCACTTATCAGTAGAGCAGTTTCAGTAATTTTGAAAACTGATTACAATGTCTGCAAACAACAGATAACAAAGCAGCAATAACTTTGTCCTAGAAATTAGATTTTGGACACACTTTAGTTTAACATGTCTCTATGGTCAAATTAATTTCAATCTTTTCTAGGGGTACCATCATTTTTGTCCAGGCCAGTTTCATTAGTTTGTTTTTTTTAAATGCTTCTGTTGAACCACAATTCAAAAGCAATGACTGATTGTCATTAGTTAATTTTCAGTAAATTTTTATTTATTATTACTTTTGTCAGTTTCACGTTATTTCAGTGACCATTGTGAGTTTCTCTTTGTTTAACAGAAGGGTACTAACAATTGTGTCCATGTGTGTATTGTTAATGAATCCCAAAAGCAAAAATGCATCTGTCTGTTTCACCATTCTTTTTGACACCTTGCCCTCTTTGTGGCATTCAGCCCCAAATCCACTGAAACTCCGGATCTCATTAGTGTCTAGGCACAGCCATTTTTACCAAATGTTACTCAGACACAAACAAATATTACATTTGTTTGGGCACTATTTTCAGCGGTGGATTAATACATTGTTGGTGCTGTCTATTGAGTATTTCCAGCATCCGGTTGGTTTATGTGGGATTAAGTCAAATTAAACCAAAAGTGTGTGTGTGTGTGTGTGTGTGTGTTCGTGGTACTAAAGGAAAATGTCACAAAAGAAATGTGTGGCTCATTGATGTCTTTTTAATATGGAGCTCTGTGACTCCGAGGAATAACATACAAGCAGTAGCTAGACATAGAGTTACTGTATCTAAAGGAGACACCATACACCTTATTACGACCCTAGCTCAGTCTAGCCTGAGGAGGGGAGTAACATAAGACTAACTGAAGAATGATCACTTTGGTCATTTTGCTCAACTTTTATTGCCAGAGTGTGACTAGGCTCAAAAGAAAAGCAGTGCATATTCCTGACTCCCCGACATTAGAAAAACATGAGAAAAAGGATAAAGCAAAAAGAAAATGCATCTCTCCCCTACAGGGCTTCCTGGCAAAGAGTCAGGTAGTAGTCTAGGTAAAAAGTAAACGGTCATGTGGGAAACAACAAATGCACGCTGCACTCTGCCTAACCACAACACAGAGAGTGGAAAGGACCAGGTCTTGGCAGCTCACATTAACACAAGTAATCAGGCATCAAACAGGCGGCAGAAGTCTTTTTATACACCTGGTGGATAACAAATGGCTGCAGGTGCCCAAGAATCAGCCAGTGACAGTGGAGTGTGGGAACACTAGGAGCAGAGTGTAGGGGAGCGGCACAACACACAGTAATCCAATCTCTTTGTGGGGGAATGTAATGCACTTCCTTCCTATTGTCTGCTGTCGCTGTTTCTTTGTCCTAACTGTGTTTAACTGGTTTAAGGTCTTAACCGATGGGAGGACATTGAAAAGTTGACCTTCTTCCCCAAGTTGGAGGAGGTGCGACTGCAGGGCATTCCTTTACTGCAGGCCTACACCAACGCAGAGCGACGCAGCCTGATCATAGCGCAGTAAGTTCCTTGAGTGAGAACAGACCGAATCTACAGCAGCGGTGTTGTTTTGCCCCACACTGAAGAGTACTTGACATCTGAATTATAGAAGGCAATAATCTAGACCATTTCAGATTCACACAGCATCACAGACTGCTTCTACTCAACTGCGTATTGTATTACATATGTGCTTCTCCTTAGGCTTCCCTCAATATCACTACTAAATGGCAGCGTTGTGACTGATAGTGAGAGAGAAGATGCAGAGAGGTTCTTCATACGATACTACTTAGACCAACCTAAGGAAGAGCTGCCCTATAGGTATACTGCACTCACTGTTTCTACTGTAACTACAGTGATACGAGTGTTTGTGTCATGTATTTGTGTGTACTGTTAACGACTGCAAATACAATCTGCTCTTTTCCTCCTCAGATACCATTCCCTGGTAACCAAGTATGGGAAGCTGGAGCCACTTGCTGACATTGACCTCCGACCTCGCTGCCATGCCCAGGTGGAGGTTCACTGTGAAGAAAAAGTAGAACAGGTGCGTTAAGCATTTAATGAGCTATTATGAATAGTTCACAGATATACAGTAGAATAACCTGAGTGGCAGAGCTTCAAAGGATATCGTATCACTCCACCATTCATACTTTGACACTGAGTCTCCCTTTGTTGAATTTGAGTTTCTCTTTAGCAAATGAAATTATTGTTTCCTGGACTCTTATGTTCTTTCCTTTTGAGTAATTGGTGCAACAAGGGTATTAGTTAGCACCACTGTTTCTCAAATACTCATGGTAGCAGCAGCAGATCACACTGACCAGTTATACTTTGATCAGTGGTGACTGCAGAAAACTAAAAAGGCTAGACAGCATAGAGGAAATTCAGGCTACGCAAGTTAATAGAAAGGTAAAGATACAAAATTATTAGTGTAAAATAAATTGAGTGCTCTTTAATTCCTTGTCAGATCTCATGTGAACATGATTAGATTATGATATTCACATGAGATCAGCCAAGGAATCATTGATTATCAGTTCCAATTTGAATACATCATCAATAATAAAATCAAGTGTGTGGGTTGCTTAAATATAAATATTAATTCATAGCTGATAATAAAAGTTTCATTTATGTCCAGAACATCATATTTCATATTATTTGCAACTACCTTCCATTTTTTGAATCACAGCCTTGAGCTGAAATTGTATTTTAAATGGCAAGACTCTAGCTGGCTAAAAATTCTACAAGTACCTATAAATTTCTTTGTGTACCCTGTAGAATAAAATAATGACTTATGGATGCTAAAATGTCTGACCTAAAGTGCTGATGCAATTGCAAAACACATATCACATTTCATACTCAATTTCTTTATTACTTTTATAATTTCAATGATTTATATAATATAATAACAACCAACATGGCACTCAATTTCAATGGTTTTATATAAAAATCATGTACGCTCCCTTCAAAATTCAGCTCAAATGTGTTGCATCTTAAATATATATGTATATATCCGATTTTTAAGGGCTTGCATTGCAAAGAATTAAAATGACTGGTGCTTGTTATGGGGGCTATGACCCCCTGGCCACCCCTTGGGGGCGCTATTGACTTTGATATCATTTGTACTTTTGCGCTCTGTACAAAAAATAAAATAAAATAAAATCAAGCACGTATTAGTTATGGCATTAAAAAAACTACACAGGTGATAAGCACCTTCCATGTTCATTTTGCTTAAGGACACAGCTAAAAGCAGTGAAAATTTAACTTAACATTCATCAGTTGGGCAGAAACATAACTCCATAGGAATCTTAATGTAGCTCCCATTCAATATGATGGGAAAGTATGTCCAAGCTTTGTACTGGTAGTGTGCATCTGTCCTTAAAAAGACTTGAAAGTAAGTACAAAACTGTTCAAATGTGCACTGTTTATAAATTTCACAGCAGCTGGAAAGACATTTTAAGTTAAATACCAAGGGTTATGCTTGTGTTTTACCAGTATCAGTGTAAGCATAGCTTTAAACCATTCTTAATACATGGCTTATTGCACTTACGCTGAGTGAAATGCAGTTTAATGTCTAAAATGTAGATACTGTTGCTCTTTGTGTCAGCTGAGCATCCGTTTAGACCAGACAGTAGCCGAGCTGAAGAAGCAGCTCACAACAGTGGTGCAGCTGTCCATCAACAGCATGAGGCTCTACTATATTGACAAGGACAGCGCCTTTGGTCCAGAGGAAATGAAGTACAACACCCGTGCTCTCCACTCCTACAGCATCCAAGATGGTGATGAAATACTGGTTGTACCTAAGTCCAAATGAACAGTGCGTGTCCAGCTGACTGAATAAAGTAACTTTTTGATTGATTGATTGATTATAGAATACTGAATATGGATACTACTGGATTATGTGACATTGCAAAATAACTGGAAACTGCAACAACTGGAAACTGGAACAGATTCAGCAGCTCCCTTGTTGGAACAAAGGGAGATGAAAATGATGGGAGTCATGAAGACTGCACAGTGGACTACAGTGGGCTCCTGGGAGGCTCTGGCTGGAAAAGCAACCAGTTGTGGTTCTTATACCTTTATTTATTTTAGCTTTATTTGAGGGCATCCACTGAAGTTAGTGGACAAATCTCTCACAATGAAAAACAGAAGAGAGCAACTTGCAGTCACCTGGCAGCTTCAGAAGGGGAGGGCACTGCTCTACCAGCAGAGCTTTGCTGCAGATCTATCTCTTAGTACAAGGCATGTACCATAGCACCTGCACAGGAAAGTATCCAACAACACCGTGTGGCCATTTGTTGCAAAAGCTACCCTGTTCAGTGGTGAGGCAGTGCTGCTGAGTGGAGAGGGATTCCTCTTCTCATCTTCACCTTTACTGTACAGTCAGCACAATGTCAAGCAGCATCTGTTCAAGGACAATTCCAGCCTAAAGTACTGTTAAATGCAGGGGTTGGTCCATTTTGTTGCTCAGTGAGTTTTTTGTTTTGTATTCCTGTGGATAATTGGCAATGTTAAAAGATCACATTCAGGTTGTTTGGCAAAATTCCGAGAGAATCAAATTGCATGGGGAGCAGTGTGGTGATTTGTCATAGAATGAGCCGATTGCTTTGAATAATAACCTCTGTGATATGGGTTTTCCACAGAGTTCTTTACATTTACATTTGCTCTTTCTCCCTCATCAAACAGTCGAGAATTTATGTATATGCTATATGCTGTTCATTCCCAACTAGATCTTACTGAGAAGTCATTTCTCCAAGTATGTGCACTGGAGGCTTTAAGTTTCCACATTACACTTGTTTAAGTCACATACTGGACCATGATTGGCTTCCACATTAGCTGCTATGTCACAAAATCACCTCTTTCTGTACACTTGTTAGCATCATGGTGGGAATTCTTTTAATGTAATTCTTTTGTTCCCCCAATCCATAGGAACAGTTAGTGTGTTGGTCCAGTCCAGTTATAATACAGGCAAGGGAAACACTCTGCATATATCACAGAAAGGAAATATTATCTGACACTTTACATAATGCATTTAGAGCTGCTCTGCCAGGCCATGGTGATTGAAGCTGTAGCTGTGGACCTGGTATTCATGTAGTTTCTTTTTCACAGAGTGAATTAAGGAGAGGGACTCGATTGACTCTTTAAGGACCTTTTTTTTTTTACAGTAATGGCAGATCATGGGAACATTAAGTAGTTCCAAACATTAGCAGCAGTGCCATAGAGGCACATTTACTTGGCTGCTACCTAAAGCTAAAGAAGTTGAAATCAGTAGCAGTAATTATACTTGACATTTTAAGTAGCGGCATGTGTTTTACACATTTTACATTTTTGACTGTCTTAATCAAGCACACACACACACACACACACAGATGGCGGTGCTGCCTGCAAGGCAAGGCTGCTCTGGCCATCGGGAGCAACTTGGGGATTAGTGTCTTGCCCAAGGACACTTTGATATGTGGACAATGGGGATCGAACTGCCAACCTTCTGGCTGGGGGACAGTCACTCTACCGCCTGAGCCCCACGTATTAAAGTCATCACTTTAATAATTAGTTAACTAAGGTAAATTAGCTCAGCTATCTACAACAACCTAACACAAAATTAGTTTGCAAAGCTGTTCAAGTCATTAAAAATAGTTATTGATGATAAATCTTGTTGTTCTCTACAGAGGGCAATGGATCTTAATCGATTGTTTGGAACTATTTGAAACTACATAAGTCATGTGACCTGTTGCCATTTTTGACCCCTCAGTGTTGCAGCTCCTCTAGCTTAACGGCTCTGGTGTTTCACTGATTATAAACTAAGGATAGCCATGGCAATAACCAGAACCACAGTGATAGCATCATCCCGTACTACAGTTTTGAGCAAAAGGGGGCTTTAAATGAAAAGAAAAAGGATGAGATAGGTTAAAAGAAATTTGGGCATATAAAAAGGAAAATTACACCACTTCATGTATCTAATAGTACTGATGTTTCTGTTTTTATATCACAAAACACGTACTGTATACACATATGTATACACTCACACCTGTGCACACAAGGCAGGTGTTGTGTCATGATATGTGCTGCCCTCTACAGGCTTCATCTGTCTTAGATAAACATTGTGTTCTGCCACTACAGTAATCTCACTAGATGAGGTTCTATGTGAACAAAATGATGCACAAAAACACACACCAGGGTACTGTACCTAAAAGACAATCTCTTGGTGAATGTTTTTGCATAGGATCAGTATAAAGTCATAACATCTACATTTAAAATATAGCAATTCTATTCAGACCATCTTATTTCAGTTGAACACGTACTGGTGTTTATGAACAATTTGTGAGGTTTTTTTAAAATTAGCTTTTGTGTTTTATGGCCATTTTAGTGAAATATGGTAGCAACAGAGTTTCAACAGTTCTCCTGATTGTTTAATTTGACCTTTTCTTTGTTTTTATCAGTTTCTAGTTGTTATGCATTTAAGAAGATAGCATTTTGTAAGTTTAATATTCGTTTTTTGTACATTTTATTAGTGCATAATTTATTTAATGATGTGTTGTATGGAAGTTGATCTGTGTTCTTTATTTACAATTCTCCAAGTTTATGAACAGACATTGCTCTAAGTTTAGTGTATACATGTGTATTTTTAAGGGCACTTGAGACTTAAAACTTTTACCACAAGGCATGTCTTACCAAATAGAGTTGGGGTTTGAAAGAGGTGGGAATTTAGGGGAACATCTTACATTTGCCCCATACTAGAGGCGAAAGGCTAGCATATCTTGGCCTCTGTTGCTTCAATTTTGACCTTTCTTTTTAAAATCTCTCTTCTGAGTCCCCCAGTCTAATTTCAGCACAATACTAAACAGCTGGAGGGCCCGATTTGGTAAAATAATCATTTAATCCTATCCTATACACTACTATTTTACCTCCCATACGCAAGTGAATTTTACATTTCAGTCCATCTTGGACTGAAACACTTTCGCCAAAGATAGTTCAGGAAGTTATTGGTATAATGTGGAATATACACAGTATGTATTGATTTTAATACAGAGCATCCAGCTTGTATAAAAGGAGCAGTTTGGTGCCATTGATTTTTTTCCTATAGCAAGAGTAAGGGATTCTTTGTTGCACTGCTGACAACAACATCAACAAGTCTGGACTCTGAAGTGTTGAGTTAATAGTGTCTGTAATGATCAATGTGAGATTTGTTTGAAGTGAGAATAGTATGTCATTGTGTGTGCTTGGTGGGTGATTTAATGGTATGTGTGTTATTTGCTTAATGAGTTTACATTTACAAGGAAAGTTGTCACTTTGCTGCTTAGATTTTTGGAATAATACACTTGAAACAACTTTGCTTTACATTAAGCCTGATGAAAATATTTTGTCTTGATGTAAATTTATTGTATACCAGTACAATTCATCTAGTTTTATTTTAAGAATATTATAATTGTGTTATTTATTGTGTCTGTCCAACCTGCTGCAGGCCACAATTATTGCCTACGGCAATTTACAACCCTTAAAGCCCCTGAAAAATGTGTTTTTCCAGTATTTCTCCTTGACATTAAAGATTAATGACAAATAAAGCAACAATCATCTGTTAAAGTTTGGAAAATGTTATCAGTTATCAAGGGTGTGCAAAGCTCAGCTGAGCTGCTACTGGGGTTTGAGCAGATTTGATTTACAGTTACCTGGCTACATAAACAAACACCCCCAAATATTCTTTGATTTTTTATTCTAATTTTGGTTGTTCAAAATATGGGTCATCACCTTTTTCCCCCACTAACACTTGCCTATTCAAAGCAATGAGAAGAACTTGGACAAAACCAAACAAAACAGAAACTTCTCATCTGAGAACCAAGGACCCCATCATTCATAGTGAGAAACTGATTAAGAAACTTAGGTTTCAGGGCCTTTAAAGGAAAACTTCACCCCAATATGCATTTAATAGCAATGCACATTTTTGTTCATTATGTTTTCTGGTGTTTTCCATCCTTTGCGTAACAGTTCACACAGACAACTTGACACATTCAGATGCTGGTTCATATTTATTGTACAGATGCAACAGTAGCATCTATCTTCTCACCTAACATTCTGCCAGACAGTGAAGAATACTGTATTTTCAATAACTTAAACTACTGCTTGAAAGTTAAAGTCCTTGAAGGTGTCAAAAGGTATTAAGAATGGAAGAAATCACAAACTGAAGTAGACAAACCTTCTGAGGAGTAACTAATGGTAGATTTTTCCTTTAAAATTTAATCAGAAAAAAACCATTCTAGCTACTCCAAAGTAGTGCTGTTTCTTTATATTGTAAAAAGCAACTGTACAAATGAGTTTAAATGAATTACTGAATGAAAGTGATAAACTGATATCATACCTGTTTAACAAAGGGCTTTGTCTGCTAAATTGGAGAAAATGAATTCCTTTCCTCAATTTATTATGCAACATATAATGCTAGACATCTGGCAGCTTTTTCCAGCACATCCTGTTTGAGTTGAAGCTAAACAGATACTGCTACCCCCGATATATCAGCAAATACACTGCTTGAGTCATCAGCTGCCTCTAAAAGTGGTACACCAGAGCTTGTGTGAATCTCAGAAGCCTATATTTGTCTTTGATTATAGTGTGATAGATTGCGGTTGGAATAAATGCCCAGGATGTCAAGGGTTCCTTCCTGCTCAGACACCTGTATTTAAGTTAATCAGTTCACTCAGCTATATGTAACATGGGACTGTTCTTAGTCTGAGGTGGTTAAAACATTTTTGTTGTAACCTATATAAAGTATAGTATAAATAGAACAGGATCAGCCATTTTTTTATTATTATATGTAAAGAAAGATTAGTCACTGAATGAAAATAAATGCCAGTCTCCCACCTGGGTGTGTGACACTTTGTTTCATTCATAGCAGCCGCTATGGAATCATTTCAGGTGTCCGGATGTGTTTAATGGTACAGATGGTTGTACTGCATTATGATTTCATGACTCATTCACTTTAATGTAGGTGCTTTCAAACTCCAGGATGAATGACTACTTGAGTGCTGTAAATTGGAATACTGAAAATAAATCATTTTAGCCATAGGAGATCTCACCCAATATTTGACATAAAAAACTGTTTATATAAAAACATATACTCTTACAGTGACAAAACCGTGCACATTGTTTTAACTTCTCATTCATCATTTCTTTAAAATCATGTCACATTCCTCAGTAGTAGCCATTGTTACTGATTTATTAGATTTTAGGCATTTAGAACATTGCAAAAGTGGCGTGCTTTGTAGCAGTAGATAAAAATTAGTGTGTACAATTTTAACAGCAATATTGGTAGAACAAATCTAATTCCACTGTGATGGTAACAAATATATGACAGCATATTAATGCATGGAAGTACCTACTGTATTCTTTAGTGACTTTATATATAGCCTACTGTAGGTTATAAGTATTTACTTATTACTTAAATGAGTAGTATAACTTTTGTCTAATTTTTAAACAATTTCCTAGATTTTAAAAATCACCAAACAAGAAAAATCATCTAACTGCCACCTGCATTTTTACTTATCAATATCAGAGTATTTTGTTGAGCACCAGCTGCATTTACTGTCTGAACAAGGTTGCGGTTAAAATACCATAGGCTGTCAAATAGTATGACAAATATTCTATTGTCTGTGTAAATTGCTCTGAATGTGCATTTTTAGTGGGTGAAGTAAATATAATTTTATAGTATTTACAAGTGTAGAGCTGATATTTCAGTTAGTATATAGGCTTACAACAACAACACTAATTACTGGAAACAAGTCTCCGTCTTTCCCATACGCATGAACGTATCATTTTTTTTCAATGAAAGAAATCTCTGATGTTTACGTTCATCACCATAGCGACCGTGTAGGAAGCGGTGAGGTATGAACCAATCAGATATTAGCTCTCTTGCCGGACTGACGTCATTGTTAAAGCGAAAAGAACCGCTACTTGGCTGCCGAAACTATACAACTGCAAGCCAGGGGGATAGAAGACATGGCTGAATACCAGCGTAGTCTTGACTAAAGCCCAAGGCGGTATAGTCCCCTGTCCACCGTTATCGGCCATCGTTCTCAGCAACTTAACTAAGGATCTAAATACCAGCACTAACCAGCTAGAAAGACACTGGGGGGGCGTTTCTCTGCCCGTCTGTGCAGATTCGGATGGGGAGGATCTCCAACTGTGGGGTGAGTGAATGCAGTTATCTTACACCACCATGACCCTGGTAGCAGCTAGGTGCTGTTCTCTACTATGGACATGCAGAATTCCTACCAAACTCTGGGAATAGGATTTCCCCCTTGCTAGTAAAGAATGAATATATACCTTACCGAACACAGTTTAACATACTGTAGAAATTAGAATGGGCCATCGAAGTATTCGGCAAAAATATGACAGCGAAGCAGCTGTTTATTTCAGTTTCATTAAAGATTTTAAGATGGGTAAGTTAACCATAGCTACAGTCGACTGCCCTGCAAGGTCTTCTAGCTGAAGGAAGAATAACAACTGAAACACCAGTAAAAGTTCATACCTTAAAATGTGTATGTGTCACGCCTTGGCGCAGAAGTCTCTGGACACACTGGCTTTAACACGGCTACTGTCTTAGCTAACGTTATCCAAATAGTTTGAGGCTATTCGGGTTAGCTGGCTGGATTGGTAGTTAATTGATGTTAACTAGTGTTACACAGACAAAATAGCCAAGCAGGTTTTAATTAATAAACTGTGTATTAACTTTGTATTTCGCTGCTTTCCTGTTCGTGGGACGTGGGTACGAGAAGTTTTTACTGTTTCAATCTCCTCTCCGCCCCCTTGACGGATAGTAGCCTACTCCATGCCCCGGTCCGCTTCAATTAGCGAGAAACGCTGCTGAAGTCTGACTGGTTATCTAATCGTGTGTGGAATAAGGTTATCCATGTACTTCCTGAGTCAAAATTTGCATTGATATTTGGCTTAACGCTAGTCTGTTCAGAATTATACATAAGCGGCCACATTGCGGTACATCGTCTACAGCTTCTGTGCGATTGTCATCTCCTGTCAGTGTCATGTAATGCTACACCCTTCCCAGAGTCCGTCCACCACAGTATTAGGTCTGTCTTTTTCCACTGTCTTGCATACACACATCGGCTGTTTTCTGAATTTCTGCACTGGAAAACGCTCGATGTTACCGTATTTGGAAATTTACCTATGACGTCTTTCGCACACCGGTACTGCAGCTGTATGACTGGTTCTGAAGAAATTGAAATTACATGTAGAAGATAAATCGCATAAAGCTGAATGCATGTAGTACCATCAGCATAAAAACTGATGAAATCATACTTGGATGTGAGTAATTTCAGAGTAATAGACTTAGTATGATGGCACTGTTTCTAAAGGAAGTCAGAGATACCTGCAAATGAGTCATAATCCTGGGAAACTTGGCCTTTACTTTAGACTTTCATTTCTATGAAAGCAACCGATCTGCTGGCTACAGCAGTGTGGTGGACTTGATGTTACCCAGCCTGGCATATAAAAAGCCTTAATGCTAGTCCTTTAACAGCAACGTGTAATGCCACTGAGTGTTGAGTGACCTGTATAGGTCATAGGCGCCTGCTATATTTACCAGCTCTGTAACTTGATCTGTGGCATTCTGGTTTGCTGTGCTCATACTATCCTCTGGCACTCTGGGGCCACAGCCTCCCAAGTAGCACCCCATTGTTTTCTGTCTATTGGCCCGGCCGCTCAGAACAACAAGGGTGAGCCTCTTACAAACAAACCAACTTAACCACCACTCTTCATCTCTTGCCTTCTTTTAGGTACCTGCTTGTCAGTTGAATGTGTATGGTGTGGGCTGTTGGCTAAGCTAATTTAGGGTGATTATAGAAGACCGGGGATAACATTTCAGAAGGTTCTGGATTTTTCCAGCATGAGTAGAAGACCTGAGAACAGCTTGCCGGGGTAGAGAGTAACACATCAGTTAATATGCATGACAGTTTGTATTTGTAGTGAAAATATATTTGTTTTCTCAAATGAAATAAATATATTTATTTATGGTGGAAAAACGTGAGATTTGAAATAAGTGCTGGAAAAGCTACATAATGAAAACCTATAAACTTTATCTTTACCTGATCTTTATAATTGATCAGCTTTTCCAGATTTGATATGAGCTGAAGGGTGCATCTTGAATCTTTCATGATCAAACTGGAGAACGTGTTGGCCAGAGTGGCCTGTGCGTGCACTTCATGCTGAACGTGTAGTGTCCCAGAGTGCTCTGGGAGACTGCACATAACAGATTTTGGCACATAGACACAGATTTGGGCTAACTGTTAACTTTATGAATTTCTAGACTTCTAAGTATGCATTTACTGACCTCACAGGGATTTTCAAAGTACAATGTTTAACAGCTGTTTGACAGTATTCATCTAGTGATAGTTTATTGCCTGTTTCACTTATCTCAAACCCATTTCCGCAGTCAACAGAATGTGATGCTGCTCTTTCATTGTGTCATACTTTATATTGGATGGTATGACACGTAAAATGTCATGTGTGTTTTTGCAGGAGTGATCAGTGTCACAAAGCCAGTGTGGGCGTGCACTGTGGGGTAGCAACAGTAGGATGAGCTGCCCCCGAGGTATGACAGTCTGCGAGGACTGACACACACAGCTACAAATACGGCAGGTAACTACTTCACTCACACATGCCATTACACAGATACAAATGCCATCCTAGTCGACAGTTGGACATCTTAACTATCCCTAAGTGCATTCTAGTTGTTGCTTGTAGGCAGAGTTTTACATCACTGTTTGCATGGTTCAGATGTATCACATAAGAAATCCATCCATCCATCCATCCTTTTTGATGTGAGGCAACAGGGCTAACCAATGCACTGTGATTTTCTTGTTGTAGAAAATCATATATGAAAGATGAAAAAAAAGTATTTCCCAGTTGTGAACCATGGAATCCATTGACAGCTTTCTGGCTTTCCAGCTTTCACCTGGGCTAACCTGTGACTTGTTTTAGGAATTTAATATATGAAAATGAAAGGTGACTGAGCTCATTCAGAGCCCCAGAGTTCTGAGAGGCACTGTTTGAGGTGCTGGCACAAAAATAAACACAGAATATTAAATTTCTTGTTTAATAGTGTTTTTGAATGAGATGTTTGTAGTTGCCACTTTGACTTCATGGCTTTATTTGCCAGTCATTCTTGTGCCAGCACTGTGTATTCCTCTTCCTTTTTTTTAATCTAGTGAAGAAAGGTTTAACCAGTAGCTAGGGAATGACTGGAGTAGGTCCAGCTATGGCTTGTCAGAATAGCAAAGTCATCAAGACTAATTTTAATGTGCTTGGCAACTGGATGTAACAGGCAGAGGGGTCTGGCAGAGGCGTCACTGTGGCGCTCACAGAAAACTTCTTATCTGCTTACATTTCAGGGTATATATAGCTGCCTGTTGGATCAAGCCCCCACCCAGCATAGCTCTGAAACCTCCTAATAGCCCCCATGTTGATATCTCACATTATTCCCCATGAATACAACATGATGTCTGCACTATGTTAGTTTTTGTCTCACTTTCGCATCTTTCACAACAGCAGCAGCAGTAGGCAGCTGTTTTCAGTGAAAAAGCTCTAGAAACCTGATGTTATTCAGTGTTACATTACCCACGCAGCACTAAACAACAGACACAGCATGTTAGAAACTAGCTGGTAAGCATTTAGCCACGAAAGAGCAGCAGAAGAGTTGGCAGAGATGAAAACAGACACACAACTCCAACAAGTGAATATTAATATTGCTTTGTGTCTGCTAAATGTGACAGCTATTGACTAATATATTTCATTTAAGTGATCATATATCATTACTGTCTTTACAACATGTTGTACTGGTTCTTTTTAGCAGTGTTATGCACTGTCAACCATGTAATTACTGAAACATTAGTAATTGTCAATAAGCTTTATTGACTCATCACAGATACAGTGTATTCCATCCAGTTTGTTCTCCAGAGATGAGTGACATACTTGTTGCACCTTTATGCATCTTCTGTGCCTGTATAATTGTAATATGTGTAACTAATCCGGCACAGAACTCGACTTTGACGTAGAATCACAGAACTTACCTCAAAACTGCAGTGACTCAGGTGAGAGTGAGCTAACCTTTTACTATAGTGCAGCTATACTTCCACACACGTACGCGTACACTCTCACTCCGCATCGCCAGAGAGTGCCATGTTACATTTATGCAGTGTCATCCCCGGGCATGGCGGCATCCTGCGTCATCATACATATTCTCCGAAACACACTTGAGATGGGCTCTGCTATGTAATAGGCCAGGGGGAGACCTGGGAGGACAATATGTACTGTAAGAGATCTGACTCACTCACATATTAGAAGGATGGGTTCTCAGCACAGGCACATTTTGGTAACATAACAGATCTAATAAAATTCAACAACATCTCTAACAAATTCACATGATTTGATATGTAACATTACACAAATTTAAAGAATTATATGAAGTTTTTTTCCTTTCCCATCTGTAGTTTAAGACCCTTCAAAGAGTTGAGTTTACCACATGCTGGTCGCCTGATGAACGCAAGTACAATATTAAATACGTTGATGAGAGTAGTGAAAATGAACCACAACATCTAAATGATGGGATGTAAGAACAAAATGATGAAAATTATGAAAATTGGCAGAGTTGGGTGATATTCATCTGTAGGTTTGTCACTACACATGACCCCCGTTGCATCACACATACTCATTTATTGCATTCTTAACAGATATAAAGGTATAGTCAGCGATTCTAAGTCATTACACATTTTGTCATATCCAGCTAAATTTTCCTCATGTTTCTCTGCCTGGCCTTTCAGTTTGTGTCCTCCACAACACCGGGTGTGTGTGTGTGCTGTGCTTGTTTTGAAACAGGCGAACGAAAGGATTGGAGGTGGGCCGGCTGACTTCAGCCAGTCGGCACGAGGTGGCACTCTTGTTCCTGCACAGCATAGTGTGTGCTTTTTTGGGGGGGGTCTAAAAAAGTACCAGCTCCATTGCTCCCACTTACAACTAACAACTAAACAACCAAGGCAGACAAAGACAGAAGCACAAAGGACTGTAACGTTAATCAGGCCAGGTAGGAGACCCGTATAAATGTAGCTCTGTGCTGTCTTACAAAAGAGAGAGGTTTGGGATTTAAAAGGGATGAGGATGGACACTAAGGTTGCTCTTTTTCTGTTGGACAGGTGGGTACATTCTTTGCTATGTGCCACTGAAAATCGTTGTGGTCGGTATGATGTTGTTCACTTAGGTAGACTAATCTTTGTGGTAACGTTACGTGTTACATTGGCCTGCTTGCTAAATCAGATTTTCCTGAGACATTCAGTTAGATTGCTAGTTTGCATATGTATGCTGTTGTTCTGACTTCAGCTATAACAAGTGGGGACTGTTGTGAGAGAATAACAGTGGAGTCTAGCTGGTTAGCCACGTGTTGTGCCCCACTTGCTAGTTTTCTGTCATCTCCTTTGGCAAGTGCAATCAGTGAAAGCCAGTTAAGCTTTGGCACCGCTGGTGCTTGACACTTTTTGAATGAACAGGAAAATGTGTATCGGAACGTTGAATTGTTACTTTGTGAACTCGTTGCTAGTGTTTTAGTTTTTATTTCTTGTGGTGCCCTCTATTTTTGTAGGTAGTGAAAATGAAGTTCCCAAAAAGCTTGGTTGCCTGAAACCTGCCCTGTAAGTGAAGCATCATCTCTCCAGCTCTTCGCCAAGCGTTGGCAGCAGTTTGCTGCTAAAAGCTTCTGTTCCACTGCACTCATGCTGTCACTTGTGCCTCTCTTGACAGCTTTCTTAATAGAAGCCTGGCAGACACACTGTCTTGCTCATATAAGTAGAATGTTGTATTTTCACACTAACATATTTACGCTTTATATTTTCTTTATTTCTGTAATATTCTCAGCAGCACAGAGACTCTTTACATAGGTTTTTCATTACCTTGTTGTTTCTCTAAAGGAAACAAAAGAATACAGAGCATTATGTATAGTGAACAGGCTGTAGCTGTGATAAAAAGTGTAAATTGGCTATGGAATGTCCTTTATGTGTCGATACAAAGCAAATAAATGCAGCTTGTTGCCACGGTAGCTATGGAAACTACTGATTAACACAACCTCAGGGGAGGCTGAAAATGCAGAACAGCCAGAGTGTGTTCGTGTGTGTGTGTGTTTGTGAGAGTGGCGCATTCCTGTGACTGTGCATGTGTTGCTGTTTCTGTGGAGACATCTCATCTCAGAAGTGAAATCCATAGTTTGCAATTATCTTATCAGTCCTGTGTGTCCAATGCTGTGTGGTGTTACTCCCACGGGTTTGACTCGCTGTTTGCACTTCACTCTCAGCAGCTCGCCTACCTGGCCAGCCCGAGCTTGGTTCACTCAGCTGCCCTAGGTCTTTGGCTGTGACACAACTGTGGGAATACAGAGAGGTGCATAGTAGATGAGGCATTCAGGGTAAGGTTCAATCAAGACTAAGGTGATCTAGGCAAGGGTTCAAAAGCATAATAGGCCAGCCTTTTTTGAGAGATGTGGCATTATAAGATGCTATTGAACCCACAGAAAACCACAGACCTTTTGTTGCGTCTTCTTGTTCATTTTTGGGTATTAAAACTTTGATTTGAGAATGTGAAGAGCCATGTTTATACAGTGGGTCTTACTTAAAGTTTTGTCAGAGGCAACACACCTCATGGTACCAACGAATCTCATCCAGGATTCTCACTGTAGTTTCCCTCACACATTTTTTGTGCTTGTGTTACACCATAATATTATGCAATGAAGGTTTGTGCTAGTGTGATGACAAGGCTGGGGGTTTGGGGTGCTAACCAGCAGTAGCCTAGCAGGTCAGTGGAATTTGCAGTGATTAATAGGTTTTGCCTCCATTAAAGTCAGTTACAAGCTTTGAGAATGGTGCGTGGGTAGCGTTCCCTCTGCGCTTAGGTACCCAATTGCTCAAATGACTAGAAAATGTGCACTGCAGAAAATTATCTGGATAGAAACTTTGGGTTGGGGTAGTCCAGTATTTTACTGGAGTCTAAACTTATGTATTTCACTCAGATCGTGAGCCCATTTGAACCATACAACTAAGTTATATTGAGTATGTACATAATGGATTCAGGAAATCTGAATGTTGAAGACAATGTGCAAGCGTTCAAGAAAACATTGGAGCCTGATTTTTGTCACCATTGTAGATGTTGATATTTTAAAAAGTCAGTTGTCAGCCAGTAATCATTTTTTAACATATTCACATAACATAAACATATTATAAAGATGCCTTAATTTGATTTTGAAGGAATTGTAACCAATATATGTCCTGTCCAAGTCATGGTCTAATACGAGGGCAGCAAAAATCTTTTTTATTGATTCCTCAGTTGATTTTCTTGATTAATAATTTATTTATAAGGTGTCAGAAAATGGTTAAAAAATGTCCATCCCAGTCTTTCAGGGTCTAGGGTAATATCTTCAGTTATCTTGTTTTGTCTAGTTCAATGCCAAAGATATTCTATTTTACAGTGATGTAGCACAGAAAAAGGAAACAGAAAAGTGGTAAATTCTTAAATTTAAGAAGTTTAACCAGCAAATATTTTTATTTAATTTTTTTCCCTTGAAAATGATTTTAATAATTGTCCAAACCAATAAAAAAAGCACTGACAGAAAAGAAATCTGTCATCTGAAAAGAAAACACTGTGATAAAGGGTCACATATGCAGTCACAATAAAAATATGATTGAAAAAAGGAGGTTTTCAGGGCCTGTAAGCTAAGTAGTTACATTACTGGCCATTGTGTGTCACTGTTTCTGACTGGAGTTCAGTGTGATGCTGGTTTGGTTCAGTTCAATGCAAAACAATATCTGTACAGGCATTGTGCCCAGAGTTAAAATCTTAACAACCTTTCAGTTATCAGAGTTATTACATCAGGTTTGTTTGTGTAGGTTATTTACTAAGTTTGTAACCATAACTAAGATGCAGAGTTCACAGTTAATTGTTGGCACTTTGATCCACCAGCAGTGGGCACTACAGTGCAGAAAGCTTCTGATTCAGGCTTCAGGAGATAAAGATTTGTTCATTCATCTTAATCACCTTGAGTGTTAAAGATAATAAGCATGTTTGGGAGTATATTTGTCTTGTATGACAGTTGCCTCAAACTGTCACACAAGCTGTGGTGGATGATGCTTGTTCCAGCCTAATTTGATGAGTTACTAACTGGTGTCTGACAAAGGATGATGATGGAGAGTAAATCCAGATCTAGGCTTCAACCCATCAAAAAGCTACGGGCACTGCCGGAGACACATTGTTCAAGTTTTAGCGTTGCTATGTGCATTACAAATGTATGTTGCCATGTATATGACAGTGCCCAAACCAAAATAACTCTTCAAACACAACTGCTGCCAAATAACAGAAACAGACATCATGTTTAGCCTGGCTTTAGATGGCTGATTTAAGCAAGTCAATGTTCTTGGTGCTGTTAGCCTGGCTGGTGTAGCAGTACTCAAATGAATGGTCACAGCTGCCTGGTCTGCCTCTGTGCATTTTGGCCAGTAGTGTACGTTGGCCTGTCTCCAGCACACTGCCTGTCTACCTGCTCCAGATCCATACACTGAATAATTGATAGACCCGTGGTCACAGAGAGAGCCAGAAGGAGAAAGCGATAGAGATGCAGAAGGAGGGGAAATTACGCTGAAGAGAAGTAGGTGCGCTCATAGACACGGCAGGATGCCAAGAAGGAAGGGAGAGAGAGAGTAAGAGAGGATAGGGAGCAGTAAGAGAGAGGGATGAGGGGAGAGAGCCAGGTTAAAGAAATAGGAGCCTCCCCTGCTG